CCTGAGGGTGCTTGAAGGCCCAAAGGAGCCTCGATTCAAGAGCAAACGCTCCAGTTTTGACTACCAGGAGAGTTGCACACATAGAAGTCAGTGAAACCAGAGTAGTATTCCCACTCCACACTGCTGGAGTTGAATTAATCCCGCATCCATGCATACGCTCATGAATGCCACAGCTTGGACACCAATCTAGTTTGGGGTGAAGGCAGACAACAGGAGGTATTAAACCTTGAAAACAGTGCTGTGAGAAACCCCTTTCTGTTCGCATTCAAGTGATCCAGCTGACCTTGTGACAATGGGCTGGGCAAGTAATAGGACCATCTGTCTTGGCAGATGTAATTGCATTGGAATAGAGGGAAGTTACCTGGTGTTTCAACAGAAATAAAACAGCCTTAAAATGCTATCGTGAATAGGTAAGTCACAGTGACAGACAAAACTTAATCAAAATTGCAGTTAAAACACAGCCTTAATGAAAGTTAAATACATAAATGTTATTGTATACAGAAATTTTTGCTTACTAAACAAAATAACCGCAGCACATCATCCTGCTATATAAACAAGGGGATGTGTGTTTTTTTTTCAAACCTCAACAATATTTTTTATTTGAAAATTAGACATAGGTAACAATTAAGACTATCAGTTAAAAGATAAATATTCCTAGTTTATATCTATGCCTTAGGAAAGTAAATGACATGAAAACTATATTGAGTACTGTAGTTTATGTTCTTCCTTTTGAACAGCAAAGACCATGTAGATATTTTGGTTAATAGCTCAGTGACTTTGTTATATAAAAATCAAGAACTGTTGAAATGTGTTGATCCACTGGAAGCGTCCAATGAAATTTTGATCTCACTGAGGTCAAGGAAAGGTTGCCATTGACTTCAGCAGAGCCAAGAAGGATTTGCTGTGGGAGGGCTCCCTTGCTGCTACCTGAATGCCACAGCAATTCCTGTGAGCCCGCAAAGCAGGTTGTCAAACAGCGCTGGCTCTCGGGACCACAGACTCTCAGTTCAGCCTGCTGCCGCCTCTCCACCTGTGTGCGGGTGCAGGCACATCACGGGTACTGGCTTGGTTAGGTGAAATGACGAAACAGAACTTTGTTTAAAAAAAAAAAAAAACAAAAAAACAAAAATACGTGCTTTCTCCAGGTTGGCACATAGCTACCATGCACAAATCTTCTTTCCCAGCATGCAAAATGAGATTATGGTCTGTCAGGCAATGGGTTGTACGCCAACTGAGGGAGTGCGCTGTGGCCCCAGGTCATGGAACCGGGCTATGTGGTGCACATTCAGGCTATAATGCTGCATCACAGCCTGTCTCTGAACAGCTAGATGACAGAGAGAAACTGTGGCATATAAAAGAGCATGGGAGGAAGTCCAAAATGGGAAAGACCCATGAGATTTGACAGGTCTGATCAGTTGTGTATCAAGTACTGCAATCTGAGGCCCCATGCTAAGGCAGCAAGCCAATGCAGTAAGAACTATTCGCACTCCCTCCCCACCAAAGGGAATAAACCATGCTGAAGGTTTATTGCTAAAGGCAAAGGGGAACAGACGTTCTGAAGGATTAGTGTTTCTTGCTCCTTTTCAGCTTCTGTTTGAAGATAGCAATGTCATAATAGCTTTTAAATTTCACCAGGAAAATGGGTATTGGGATGATAATAGTTAACATGCCGAATACTGCAGCTAAGGCTGCCGTCACTTGGCCAGCTGTGGTGAGCGGGATAATATCTCCGTAGCCCACTGTAGTGAGTGTGATCAAAGCCCACCAGAAGCAAACAAGAATGTCAGTGAAGTGCGGCTCCCCTGTGTAGGAGGGATGGCTACCCAGCAACTCCCCGTAGAAAAAGAGAGAGCCAAAGAAGAGGGTCTCAAAGGCCAATATCATCAGCAGGATGCAAATCTCTCTGAGGATGGACTTGAAGGTGTAGCACAGAACCTTGAGGATCAGTGGCGTTTCTATCAGCTTGGATATCTTCAGGAGTTTGAGAAGATAGACAATGCGAATAAAGCCCAACCAAAGCCCCAGGCTCGGCATGCTCTGAATCTGCCCAGCCACAAAGAGTTCAATATAAACTGGGAAAAGGGAGAGGAAGTCAACCACGTTCAAGGGATTTTGGAAGAATAACTTCTTGTCTGGGCAGAAACAAAATCGCACAGAGAACTCAAAAGTAAACCAGAGGACACAGAAGAGCTCCAGATGAAGCAAGTAGGCAGCCTGGTGGTAATAGGGTTCATGGTCATTGTGGGAGACCTCAGAATAGCCAACAGAGGTGAAGTTAGCAGTAAAGAACTCAAATTGCGCCTTGGTCTCCTCACAGAATATGATGACAATTCCGACGATGAACAGCAGAGAAACAAAAGCCAGGCACTGCCAAGGGAGGAAAGGGCACACGTGCAATTAGTTCAACAAAAAAGTATCGCATAACCTCACTGCCCCACCACAACCCCCGAATCCCCTCCACAGGCACAATACAATCCCAGACTAATTCTTCTTTGCTCACACGGAGTGCATTTTCTCCTTTCAGAACTGAAAAATAATAGGGAAGATTGGAGTCAAAGAAAAAACCACCTGAACTCGTATATCAGTGTTTGTAAGGAAGGGGAAATGTCCGACAGCTGGAGTAATGCGGACAGACTCACACTGAGGGTCTCCTCAGCACTAAATGTTGGCTCCAGAAATACCAGCAGCACAGAAAACATCCTCTGCAGTCTCTGACCCGCGTTTGTTGCTCTGCACGCCTTCACATTTTAGAGAGGCACGGGGCATGCATTTTGTACAGAGAACAGGGACAACAGGAGGAGAGAAGGAGGTGTCTGTTAGTGAGAAGAGAGAATTTTGTTTTCTTTTTTAATCTGGGACTCAAAGCATACTTAACAAAACTACGAACCCATTAGCATTTTTCATAGACCCGTTCCAGTAATCCCAAAGGACACAGGCTGTGTCCATCCCCACATAGAGTATTACCTTAGCACTGAAAGAGGAAAAGGGTTTTTCAAATGTAGACCAAATCTTTGGCTGCCACCTGGTTCGCCAGCTGAAATCCCTTCTTTCTGTCTGGACTATGAGGCACTGGTCATCAGTCTGTTCATTTTCATCCCAAATATTCAAGTCCTCTGGCTGCACCTCTTTGTTATTCAGCTTCAGCCAGCAGCAGGATGCTAGCTGTGTCTCATTTATTTCCCAGAAAGCCAGCTCTTCTTCTAAGACTGACCTACAGGTATCAATGGGGCAGTGGAAATGTTTGGTCCTATAATAGTTTAACACGTAGCTGAAGATCTCAGCACTCCTATCAAAAAAGAATTCTTTGGTGGTGGGATCATAGTCGTAGATGCTCGGGGCATGGGGCTCTGTCAGACTGCACAGCTTGGTCCCTGGGAAGGTCCGGAGGGTGCTGCTGTATGTCTCATATCTGACTCCCCCAATATTCAGGATGATTTTTTCCTTGGAGCCTTCCATCTGTGAGGGAGGAGGGAGGTGCAAGTCCTCATAGGCTCTTGTTTGTCTTCAGTCAAAAAGAGAAGAACACAAATTAAAAGAAGTAAAGCAAAGCAAGTATTGGAGCAGGAAGGTTTTCCAGGGTACCTCACTCCAGTGCTTTTAAAGCACATTTTATACCTGAAACCTGCATTTCCGATAGGGAGAAAGGCACTTCTGGCATTCCCCATCATGTTCAGTGCCTGTTCCTAGACTCTGCTCCATGGCCATACTGTCTGAGCACTTTTCAGGAGGTGCATCAAACAAAATGACAAACATCTGGTTTGCATTGCTCTCCCTCTCAGCTTCTCCCCATGGGGACAGAGCGCACAGCCCAGAGTTTGTTTCACCACATTTGTTCACATACTGTAGATAATAATTGCGATAAACTCATCTGAGGTAAAGTTCTCATTCCCAAGTCATTCCTTCCACTATCCCTCCCCTCATCTAGGTCTTCCATCTCTGCCCCCAGTTTCTTTCTCCACAAGCAGTTTCTCGCAGAGACCTCCATGTGCAAAAGAGGCAAAACAGACATCAACACCTTATTCTCCAAACAAGTCTTTAATCTCCTATGTTGAGCCTGGCATAAAAAGTTTCACAAGAGATCCTGCTGCCTGGTAGGAACATTTAGGCTGTCTGAGTTATACTTTTTCCTTGACCCTTCCTTGTACAGAGTCCCACTGAGCCAAATCACCTTTCCCTCTGCAGGACGCTGCTCCTTACCTGGAATCTATATGCAGGATTCCTGGACTAGATAGAAATACAGAACACCGTACTGCCTCTTCCTTCAGGGCTGGCTGATATCTCAGAACAGCACCACAACCTGCTGCCAAGGCCTCTGGCATTGGAAAGCACATTCTGTTGCTTATTTCCTGTAATACATCCCCTGTTTTGCTCTTCAAAATCCAACATACCTGCGAGAAACTCGAGCCCTGCTTTATGGGCATTATCCTCAGAAGGGAGGGAAAACAAGGATCTCCGTAGCCTCAGGAGCACGTAGGAGAGGTGCCGAATAGGGGCAGGATGTTCTTGAGAAGGAGACTAGGGCTGTCTTTCACCCACAAGTATCCACCTCTGACTGTCTGTACCCCTCCATTTCCTCTCCTCCATTCCTGCACATTTCCATCCAACCTCCTCTTATGCCTCACGTTTCTAGTTCTGGTCCTCCCCTTCTTGTCACAGAGTGAGCCTGTCTACCTTTCCTGCTTGGGGTCTCTTACCCAGAGATGGCTGCTCAGTGCCTGAGACCACGCACACAGAAATTCCAGTTGTCCCTCCTCCCTTTTTTGCCGAAAGTGCTGAGGATGGGTGTCACAGGTCACTTCCGCAACAAACCTTTCCATCTTGGATAGGCAGGGAAACAAGCCCTGCAACAGGGGAGACTCCCAGAAGGAAAGAACTGCATACAGCACCTCGTTCAGCTTTATCAGAAAAGGCTGGAAGCTGCAGCGTGGTTGCACGCTCACGGCACAGGAGAATTACTGCCTGTCTGCTGTCCTTGCCAATCCCAACATACGTGAGGCTTGATGCAGCTTCACCCTAAAACTTCCACAAACTTCAACGAGAGCAGGATTGAGCATAAGGACTACAAGTGTGCAGGCATTGCTCAGTGCTTGCTGCGCAGGAATCCACACAGTGTGATTCTAAGCAGGTCAGATTAATTCACCACTCAGCAAATCTGGCGTTACATTATTAGCCTCTGTTGCCTAGCTCTCTAAAGAGCACAGTGATTTTTGAGATCTTGGCTAAACTTGCCTTTATCTGCTTAGAATGCCAGATACCTTTTGCTCAAACATAACAACCCCCACGTGAGAAATGAGCCGAGAAGTGCCATTTCATATTCTTACCTTGGTGCTATTGCAGCAACTCTGCAACCAGAAGGAAGAAAAGAGAAGAGACTGGGAAGAACAGAGACAAATTTCAGTGAAAACAGGATGTTCGATGGCCAGTCTCCAGCGCTCAAGTCTCATAGATGCCAGAAAACAAAACCAGCCAATAGCACCGCAAAGATGCAGAGGCCCCTCTCCCTTCTCCTCTGCCCTATCAGCAGTCGCTCTCCCCGCTCCAGGGAATAACACTCACACAAGAAGGCAACAACTGCCAGGGCAGATACGCTCTGACTGCCCTGCCACCCACTGCTCTACTGACAATCACAAAGGGCCATGGCATTTGGGAAACACGCGGAGCTCGAGTGTCTTAGGACCACTTAAGAGGTGAAACTAGCAAGCCACAGAAAGGCAGACAGAGCCTTGTTCTTTCTCGGCTGTGCCTTATTCAAGCTTGAGTTAAAAAAATAACATTGAAAACAACAGCAGCAAACAAACAAATAAACAAATAAACCACCTGACCTCCCATCATCTTGTCACACACTCTCCTTTTTTGGTTTAAAGGGCTTTTTCTTCATTTCTGGATGACCCAAAGCTTAATCCTTTGCACCCACTGACTTCAAATGCATTTTTTGTCATTGATTACTCCAGGAAGAAGGTTGGCACATAGCTGTTATTCCCAGTCAAGAAAAGCATGCTGCGGGTGAAATTTCCTTTCAGCTGACATTCCAAGGCCATTTCTAGGTATCACCTCTGCTTACTTCAAACTCTCTGGAAAGAAAGTAGGAGAAGGAATTTCCTTATTCCCAGCAGGAGCAAGACTATTCAGGAAGGCTCTGGGGGCTTCCTGTGCAGTCATACAAATGAAAAGCAGATTCATGTCTCTTTAGAGGCAGTATTATCACAGTTCACCCTCTGGATTTTTCATTTTATTCCGCTACCTACATGATCCTGACACACTGAAATCTCTTTTTTTTTAAAGAATAGGTTTTCCATTTCAGCCTTCTACTGATACAGCAGTCTGGTTCTTCACTCTTCCGTTGCCACTTCGCCTGCCGGTGCAAGTAACCTCTCTCACCCTAACCACCCAGATTCCCAAAGTACTACGGGGACACCACAGACGATCCTGGCCTCCTCTCTCAGCCCCCACCACAGCAACGCTGCAGAAACTAGAATGGCAAATTGCTGCCAATCTCGTGTGGGACATTCTGGGCAACAAGCCATCTTTGCCCATTACCTCCCAGTTCTGTACTGGGCAACCTTGTAGCTGGACATCATCAGCAGAGCACCAGCACAAGCATAACTCCCCATAGATCCAGACTTTGAAAGCACATGAAGCACGTGAAATCCAAGCTGGTTCAGTCCTTGCTCCCTTCCGTCTCTGTAACAAACACCAAACCCTTCACATCTTTCTCCCTCTCCACAGAGAATAAGAATGAAAAATACTCCTTTTAATATCTGATTACATCTCTGAGGTTCTGGAAGCAGGGGATCTGATGAAGTTTGATGGATCCTATCTGTTCCACAGCACTGCAGCATTTGCCTTTGACAACCTTTGCACTGCAGTTGATTTCTGAAACGCAGGAATAATCTGGCAAGCAAAATGACACATGGTGTTCCTATGCTCTGAATAAGACCCTTTGATTGCAGTAAACAGCTTGTCCTTTCAGAACATTTTTTAAGCAGATGAAAAGTGCAACTCCATTTCCAGAGAACAGGGCTCTGTTCCAAGTTTTCTCCCCGCCTCATATCTTCTGAGAATTCACTTTCACTGCGTGAGGCACTGCGGGAGTTTGGCAACGAATGTCAAATCTGTTCCCTCAGCCTTACACTTCTTTTGAGTAATGAAACTCTTGTTTCAGTTTGGCCTACATTTATTAACACCAAAGAACAGTATAAGCATTTCTTCAGAGAGCGTTCATAAAAAGCTGGTGAGGATGAATAACAGTTCTGGAAACAAAACCTTGCTTCAGAATATCAAACAAAAAAAGCTTAAGCCATCCTACAGTCCTGGCAGCCTTGGGGAAAGAGCAAGCTCCTCTTTAGGTGCTGGAGACAGCACCAGAACCCACAGGCTCAGCTTTTCTGCTCGCAAAAACACCATAAGCAGCTTCTGTGGACTTCCAGCCCCAGTGCTTTTTTTCCCATCCCATGTTGCGGTCCTACCTCCCCTCTGACCTCGAACACAAGTGTATTCCTGGGATTGTGCAAAACAGATCAGTGAAACGAGAAGGTTTGTTTGTTTGTTTGTTTGTTTGTTTGTTTAAAAAAAACAACAACAACTCCAAACCCACAGTGATTTCCAGCCTGGATCATTTATTGATTCAGCCTCCTGCAAAAACCTGTGAAATGCAGCAAATGGGAAGAAGTTAAGCCTTCTGCCACTGCAGACACGCACAGAGCCGAGGCGGGACGGTGAGGGACACCGGCAGCCCCCGTCTGACAGACCCTCCGGCTCGCACATTTATTAACACCAAAGAACAGTATAAGCATTTCTTCAGAGAGCGTTCATAAAAAGCTGGTGAGGATGAATAACAGTTCTGGAAACAAAACCTTGCTTCAGAATATCAAACAAAAAAAGCTTAAGCCATCCTACAGTCCTGGCAGCCTTGGGGAAAGAGCAAGCTCCTCTTTAGGTGCTGGAGACAGCACCAGAACCCACAGGCTCAGCTTTTCTGCTCGCAAAAACACCATAAGCAGCTTCTGTGGACTTCCAGCCCCAGTGCTTTTTTTCCCATCCCATGTTGCGGTCCTACCTCCCCTCTGACCTCGAACACAAGTGTATTCCTGGGATTGTGCAAAACAGATCAGTGAAACGAGAAGGTTGGTTTGTTTGTTTGTTTGTTTAAAAAAAAACAAACAACTCCAAACCCACAGTGATTTCCAGCCTGGATCATTTATTGATTCAGCCTCCTGCAAAAACCTGTGAAATGCAGCAAATGGGAAGAAGTTAAGCCTTCTGCCACTGCAGACACGCACAGAGCCGAGGCGGGACGGTGAGGGACACCGGCAGCCCCCGTCTGACAGACCCTCCGGCTCGCA